GCGGCAGGTGGAGAGTGAGGGGCACTGGCAGGGCTGGGGGAGCAGGGGGCTGTGGGTCAGGAGTGCAGGGCACCAGCATGAGGGTTGTGGGGCAGGGGCTGTGAGTTGGGAGTGCAGGGCACTGGCAGGAGGGTTGGGGGGCAGGGGCTCTGAGTCAGAAGTGCGGGGCACTGGCAGGGGACCACCAAGGTCCCAGCAGGACACAAGAACTTCCCCTGGGACGTGCCTCCCTCCCCAGTTCAGGGCACTGTTGAGGGAAGTTCACAGCGCTGGGGAACTTTGCAGGGTGCCCACCTAGGGGACTACCAAGATCCCAGCAGGAAACTAGACCCCCGCTTCCTCCCTGCTCCCCACCCCCCCCACCCCAGTTCAGGGCACTGTTGGGGGAAACTCGCAGCCCTGGGACACTTTTGAGGGGAAGCTCACAGCCTCAGGCCACTGCAGGGGGAAGGTCACAGCCACAGACATCCTTGAGGTCCTCATAGCAGAGGAATAATACGGGGTGTGCCACCCGCATCTGCCACCCGCCTGCCACATGCTCGCGCCACAAACCCCAGGCCACTGTGGGGACACAAGAGGCTTTTAGCTTAAAATACGGCTTGCTTGGAAACCCACTCTTGCCTCTGCAAGCCTGTTTTGCTAAGAAATTTTCAACTGGGCCTAACCACATATCCCCACAATGGAGCATATCCTGACAGATTGGTCCTCCGCCCAGGAGGGTTGGGAAGAGTTGGGACGTGTCCTTTCCTTGGGTTTGCAGAGGGAACTGGTGGTAGAGGTGGGAATTGTCCCCAGGCCTCCTGAGACCCAGCTCGGAGCCCTTACTGCCCCCGTCTCTGACCTCGACCTTCAAGAACATGTGCCAGCAGAAGCAGAAGGAGCTGCTCAAACAGTCTGAGAAGCAGGAGAAGAAGCTGAAAGCAAAGTCCAGAAAACAGGCGGTGAGCCCTGAGATCCAGACTGACTCCAGGGGCACTGCCTGGCAGAGGGGCGGGTGCATAACATGAGACCTCCCCACTCCGGAGACGCTGGCCCCAAGCGGGTCCCCAGTCAGTGGAGTCAGGCTGGCTCACGGTGGTGGGAACGTTTCCTATGAGATTTCCCCACAGCAGTAAACTCTGTGGGGGAGAGAGTCCTGACCCACAAATTGTAGCCGGGTGTCGCAATAGCAGGGCATGGTGGGTGTCAGGAGGGTCCCAAAGGAAGCATGTTTCCAACCTGGGGAGATTGCCTGGCCCATCTGGCATCCCCTCCCCAGGGCAGGCCTTAGGGCTAGGTGGGCTCATGATGCCCTTGATCTCCAGGAAAAACAGAGGAAAGAGGCCTTGACCTAGAAGCTGCAGAAATTCCCCAGGAAGAACCAGGACGAGGAGTCCAATGAGACCCCGAAGCTGCTGAGGAGGCCCCAGGAGTACAGGGTAAAGTCACCTTCCCCAACCTGCCACTGCTCAGCCCCCCATGCTGGGCTTGCACAGTAGGCCCTGGGCACTGGGAAGTATCGTGTTGCAGGGGCGTGCAGAAGGCCCTCTCCCTTCAAGATACAGGGGCCTCAGGCAAATATTGGGGTGGCCATAGTCCCTCCAAGCCGCCCCAGTGCCACCTCTGTGCACCAGGCTCCAGAGCCCCAGCCAGGCTTTGTGCCAGCGGTGGCTGTGTGCACTCTTTGGGTGGACGGCAGGGGAGAGGCGTGAGGCAGCGCAACCCCGGGAGCCTCCCCCCCCATCCGCTCTGAGGTGCGCATGCAGGCTGCGTGTCTGTGTCTGGTTGTGTGTGTGTCTGTGTGCACATGCGCACTCATGTTTGGTTCTGTGTGTGTGCGTGTGTGCATGTGTTTGGTTCTCTTTCTCTTTGTTTCTCTCTCATCACAGCGTGCTCAACAAAAAAAGAATATACAACAACAAAGATAGCATATGAAGTTCTTCGAATTTTTAGAAAACCTGGTATTTACGGTAAAAAAAGGATGATGATTAACTATTTTAATATGCAGCGCATCCTGCTATGTGGCCCCAGCCCCAGTTTTCTTTTCTGGCATGCCAGCACTGCAGCACCTTACAAGGTAGACACCACAGTGTTTTCCAGCACTGACCAAAAACGTTGCCTGCCACTGGACTAGAGGGTTGGGGAGTGTCCGGAAAACTTGCCTGAGATAACGGGCGTGGGGCAGGGTGAGGGGCACCGGCAGAGCAGTGGCGGGAGGCCTGGGCAGGGCTGAGAGGAGCAACAGGTGGTGACTCCACCCCTTCTGCCCTGGCAGAAACCCGGGTTCTCCAAGCAGCAGTACGCTGACCAGCTCAGTGTGCAGGAGATGGCCACCTAGTACTTGCAGTGCAACTTCAACCTGCCCTACCAGGATGCTCGCAAGTGCCTGGGGTGCTTTGGTCTTGAGAGCCATGCCCACATCCTCCAGATCTGCAAATTGTCAGGTATGGGGCAGGGGCTTCCAGGCAGGGGGTAGAAGGTGAGTGTGGAGGAGCTAGGGCCTGAGGGTGCAGGACGCTGATCGGGAGGTGAGGTTTGAGGTAAAGGGGAAGACAAGCTGGGAATCCACCAGTCAGGGCTGGCCACTGAGGAAGAAGTCAGGGAGAGGCTAGAACTGTGCCCCTGGGAGGGGTGTGGGTTTGGCCACAGAGGGGAAAGATGGGGCAGGGGGCAGACACCTCCAGTAGCATTGCCCTTCTCCTGGGCGGGGGTGCAGGGCATTGAGCTGCTGTCAGGAGAGGGAGGTGGATGGAAAGTTGGATCATGGCATTTTGGGGAAGGAGAAGGGATTGGATGTTCCTTTCACCCCACTTGTCTCAGGGCCCTTTTCTTTCCTACCCAAGGGGGCAGAAAGCCTGTGTGGTGCTTGCCGAGCTGGCCTTCAGGGAACCTGGTGTCGTCATCCTGGTGAGTCTCAGGGGATGGGAATGGGGTTCTGATGGGTTCCCTGCTCTGGGAAGGAAGTGGGGGTGCAGCGAGTTAGAGCAGAGCAGAGCAGGCATGAGAACCAGGACTTGTAGGTTGTGCCCTGCTCTGGCTCTTGGAAAGGAGTGACATCCAGCATGTCATGGTGAGGAGAATGGTTTGGGAGGACTCCTGGGTCCTGGCGTGGGTGTGTGTGGGAGGAAAGTTCTGTGGGTCAGGACTCCTGCGTTCAGTTTGGGATCTGCCACTGCCCCCAGATGAAACCCCAAATATTCTGTGCATTGAGTCAATTGATGGCTTGGGTGATACTATCAGTGAGTACAAGGAGGCAAGTGGAAGCAGCATGGTGGGAGGGGTCCACTGGCCTGATCAGAGGAGGACGGGCTTGGGGGAATACTGGGTCCATGGATCAGATTCAAGGGTAGATGGCGAGACTGGGCTGGTGTGGCCTCATGGGTCCAATCTGCTGCGCAAAGGAAGGTAGTAATAGTCCACAGGTCAGATCCAGGCTGGCACGGACAGGGTTCCAGTCTAGGGTTGCAGGAAAGCAGAAGGGTTACTAGGCTGGGAGTGGGCCTGTGGGTCCCATGGGAGAGTTGGTTTACTAGAAGCAGTACCCTCCTGCCAGGGTCGCCGGTGGGTCCCAGTTGTGCCCTTCACTGCCCAGCCCTGTCCTGGCAGTGGCTGATGCGGAAAACGTGGGGTCTTTCCATTCTCCTTCAGTATGAAAATGGCCTCTGCTTTGCCTTCCACCTGGCTCATGCTTTGCCGCCTCTTCACAGTGGTCTTCATCATCAACCACAACACACGAGTGATCACGGAGACCAGCTGCCAGCTGCGGGGGTGGCGGAGCGGTCCATCAACCAGATCAACAGCGACTTCGACTACAAGTGGGAGGTGCTGGAGGCCTTGGGTGTGGTCATCATTAACCGGCCTTGGGAGTGACCTTGCTCTGGGGAGGTTCCTCCAGGACGTGCCCATCCAGCCTGCAAGGGACTAGAGGGAGCAGGAAGAGGACCATCAGGTAGGGCATGATGTATATGCAGGTGGCCAGCAGGCAGCCTGGAAAGCAGCTCCTGCAAGTAAGTCTGGCGGGGGAGGGGGATTGAGGCCCGAAATTGAGGCCCCCATAGTGACAGAGGGAGTTGGGCAAGGCTGGGGCTGGTGCCCCGCCGGGGGGGTGTGTGGAGACCAGAGCCAGGGGGGGTGCCAGGCCCAGGGAGGAGGGGGAGGGAGCCCCAGGGGGGGGCAGTGGGGCTGATTCCCTGCTGCTGAATGCGCTCCTGGGGAGGACATGGTGGGCACGTGCCCTCCAGCTTTGTGTGTAGGGTGGGGGCAGATGCAGGCTGGCAGCTGCCTCCCCACCTTGCTGCCCTCCTCCCAGGGCATGATAGACCAGAGCAGGGCAGGGAGGCTCGGTGTCACCAGCAGGAGCCCCGTGTTGCCTGGTGAGGCACCCCCTGCCCATGCAGCAGCAGTGGAGGTGGTGAAATGGAATTGTGCCCCACATTGCTGCTGGGCAGGCAGGGGCTGCCTCTCCATGGTGGCATGGGGCTTCTGGCAGTGGCACTGAGCCTCCCGGCCCCACTCTGCCTGTCACACTGGGTCCCGCCAACTGGACTGCGAAGGGCTCCAGGGGAAGGGCAGCGGGACGGGGAGCCCCAAACCCATAGCCGCCAGCCTACATCTGCCCCCTTCCCCCCACTGCAGGGCACTGGCAGAGGTAGGGCCATCCCACACCATGCCTCTGTGGCAACACAGGACTCTCCTGGACACCCCAACCATGTATACTGCCCCTGCACTCTTTGCCACGCTTTGGCACCACACAGCCCATTGGGCTTTCCAATGGGGGTGAGCACCAGGGACTTCATGCCTCATCTGTCAGCTTTGTTGGGGTGCTGGTTTTAGGTGACCCCACTGGTCACCCAGGCAGTTCCTGCAGTGCCAGGACAGCACCCCTGTCACAGAGCAGAGTAGCAGAGCATGGTACAGTCTCATCATCTCTCTGGGCACAACCATGTTGACTCAGGATTGACCCAGGTGCACATCAGAGTATTAAATCATCCGTGCATTTGAAGTGCTGTGTTATCGATGCAAAGTACAGTACATTGTAGTCAAATTGGTGAATGTGAGAATGAACCTTGGGTTATTTATTGTTGGTTGTTAGCCGACATTATTAGCTTAGTTATGCATTTTCCTTTTTTGTGTCATTTGTAAATTTGTGCCTATAATTTATCTGTGTGTTTCTGTATGTATTTGTGTGTATGTATAGTATTATATACTATATCTATTCTGAATACACACACACACATGAATGTTTGTACATGTATAAATCAATTTGAACAGTGTCTTGCACTAGAGGAGGGGACCTTGAGGTACTCTACTGCTCAGCTGGTACTGTTTCTTCAGTGGGCTGGTAGAAAGGCTGAAGCCATTGGCACTCCAGGGATCTGACATTGTCAGCAGGCCGCCCTTAGTATGGTGGACCAGGGTGACAGTACTATAGTATGGTATCACATAGACATGCTACAGAGCACTGTATTCAAAAGCACTTGTAGTCTGCAGAGTTCATTGAAAACATCCAGGGAGCGACTCCTCTCTGGAATCTTTTCCTTTTGCTCACAGCTGCTTTTTGCATCAAGCAGTGTAGACACAACCTCAGCCCCCGAGCTTTCCCAAAGTTTTGTATATTGACAGAATAACACATTAATAAAATAGGTTTAATGATCCCGATTGCTATAGAGACACCTGTGAATATTAGCTGAAGGGCATATTTTAGTGATTATAGATTCATAGACATTAGGGTCGGAAGGGACCTCAGTAGGACAGCAAGTCCAACCCACTGCTCTGGGCAAGAAAGAGCGCTGGGGTCAGACAACCCCAGCTAGGTGCTTGTCCTGTTTCCTCTTGAAGATGCCCAGGGTAGAGGAGAGCACCATCTCCCGTGGGAGCCCATTCCAGATTCTGGCAACCCTTACTGTGAAGAAGTTCTTCCTAATGTCTAACCTATATCTGCTCTCCATCGATTTGTGGCCATTGTTCCTAGTTACTCCAGGAGGTGCCCTAGTAAATAGAGCATCTCCTATTCCCTGCTGCCCTCCCCTGATGAAATTATGGCAGCACCCAAGCCCCCCAGAGAGTGCTTAACTCTCCTCTCCCCGCAGCGGCGTGGGGGTTGTAGCACAAGCATATGCGGGGCTAGTGGTGGGTGCGGGTAGCACACCCTGTACTCTTCCTCTGCTACAAGGTTCTCAAGGAGGTCAGTGGCTGCGAGGTTCCCCCTGCGGTGCCCTGAGGCCGTGAGCTTCCCCCAGCAATACCCTGAAGAGGTGTTGTGGGCAGGGGGGGTGAGGTTCTTTTCTTCTCCTGGGACCTTGGTGGTCCTGACCCACAGCCCCCTTCCCCCGCCCAGCCCTCCCAGTGCCCTGCACTCCAGACCTGCTCCCAGCTCCCTCACAGGGAGCTGCACTGCAATCCCGGCCGTTGTTTTAAACTTGGCATCATATTTTGTCTTCCTGTTGAAAGACAAAACCACGCCAAATTTAAAACCCTCAATCATCCCCCTCTAGCTTCCAAGCAGCCCAATTGCCTGCCTGTCACATGTGGATGGTGTCTTAGCAGGTGTCTGGCTTTTTTTTTTTTTTTTTTGCAGCAGCAGCAGCTCAAGGGCTTTGTTTTGGCTAGAAAAAAAGCAAGAAAAATGGTGCCCCTTACTCTGGACCCGCATCCCCATCCTCCCCGCTGGTGCCTCGCACTCCTGACCCGCCGTCCTTGTCCACCCCGCACCTGCCAGTGCCCTGCACTCTGGACCTGATCCCGACCCAGCCGCGTGGCGCTGCGCTGCATTCCCGGCTCTGGTTTTAAACTTGGCACCATCAGGGAAACAAAATGGAAGACAAAAACTTCACCAAGTTTAAACCCCAGGAGACTGCCTATTGTCCTGAGACCAGCACGTCTACAGCCAAAAACCCAGTCCAACAAAAAATAATTGTAGTTTAGCTGATTCTTGCAGTGCCTGTTCCCTAACCATTTTGGTCCTTTCCACCAGGCTTTAATGGCCAGATTGCAACAGATTGCATGGATTTCTCAGTGAATCCAAGTGCCACCTGGTGGACAAATCGTGGCACATCAGGGAAAATGCCAATTTTGACTGTATCTCGGAGACCTATTATGATAAAAATAATGCTGTTGGCACAATTTCTCACTGTCCCAGGGGAGCGGGGGCACTGGGAGACCCCCGCAACGGCCAAGGGGTCTGCTTACCTCCCGCAGGGCCAGAGGAGCCGAGGAAACTCTGTTTCCTCGCTAACACGATAAAACAAGGTCAAAACATGTATCTTCAGATACGATTAAACTAGCAAAATGGCTATTTTTGTCACTTGGAAGTAGGAAAAGCGCTATGTGGACAAGCGCCCTAGTGAGAAGGTTTTTTCTCATATCCAGCCTAAACCTCCTTTGCTGCAACGTGAAAGCATTGCTCATTGTTCTGTCACCTGCCACTGCTGAGAAGAGTCCAGCTCCATCTTCATTTGAACCCCGCTTCAGGTAGTTGAAGGCTGCTATTAAATCCCGCCTCAGTCTTCTGTTCTGCAGACTAAATAAGCCCAGTTCCTGCAGCCTCTCTACAGGAATCATATACCCCAGCCCCCAAACCATTTTCATTGCCCTTCACTCAACTCTCTCCAACTTGTCCACATGCTTTCTGTAGTTGGGGGCCCAAAAGTGGACACAGTACTGCAGATGTGGCCTCACCAGTGCAGAATGGAGCAAAATAATCACTTCTTTGGATGTCCTGGCATTGCTCCTACTAATGCAGTCCAGTATGCCGTTAGCCCTCTTGGCAACAAGGGCACACTGCTGACTCATACCCAGCTTCTTGTTCACTGTAACCCCCAGGCCATGGGCAACTGGTGCCACCTGAGTCAGTGGGGGCACGTGCCCCCTACCCTCCAGCATATCTAGTCCACCCCTGGCTTGGTATCAGCCGTGAATTTTCTGAGGATGCAATCCGTCCCATCTTCCAGATCATTAACAAAACTTCCCATCTTCCAGATTGAACAAAACTGGCCAAGACTGAGCCCTGGGGCACTCGACTTGATACTGGCTGCCAACTAGACTTCAAGCCATTAATCACTACCCATTGAGCCAGATGACCCAGCCAACTTTCTAGCTACCTTACAGTTCATTCATCCAACCAAGCTATACTTCCTCAGCTTGCCTGCAAGAATGATGTGGGAGGGTGTATGAAAAACGTTGCTAAAGTCAAGGTATATTACGTCTATGACTTTCTCCGTATCCACAGAGCCAGTTTTCTCATCAGGAAAAGCAACGAGGTTGGCCAGGCATGACTTGTCCTTGGTGAATTTATGCTGACTGTTCCTGATCACTTTCTCCTCCTCCAAGTGCTTAGATTTCATAGATTTCATAGACATTAGGGCTGGAAGGGACCTTGGAAGATCATCGAGTCCAGCCCCCTGCCCAAAGGGCAGGAAGTCAGCTGGGGTCATAGGATCCCAGCAAGATAAGCATCCAGTTTCATCTTGAAGGTGTTCAATGAAGGCGCTTGAACCACCTCCGGTGGCAGGCTGTTCCAGACCTTGGGGGCTCGGACAGTAAAGAAATTCTTCCTTATGTCCAGCCTGAAACGATCTTGAAGTAGTTTGTGACCATTCGACCTCGTCATCCCTTGGGGCGCTCTGGTGAACAAACGTTCCCCCAGATGATGGTGGTCACCCCTGATAAACTTGTAGGTGGCCATCAGATCACCCCTGAGCCTGCGCTTTTCCAGGCTAAAGAGCCCCAGGGCTCTCAGCCTGTCATCGTAGGGTCTGCTTCCCTGACCTCTGATCATGCACGTGGCTCTTCTCTGGACTCTCTCAAGCTTCTCCACATCCTTTTTGAATTGTGGAGCCC